AATTGTAATAGAACATTTAAGTACATACATTATTAATAGCATAATTAACTTGTCTTTCTTCCCAAAAAATATCTGACAACTGAAAAATATGACAACTCTTTATAGAGAAAATGTAAACAGTAACATGATGGTGAAGAACTATATGTATACACAAAAATAACAAGCTCATAATTCATCGGAATATCTCTCCCTGTCTTTGTGAATCAATATTAAAATCATTATCAACAGATGAGCAGATAGTATATGTGTGTCATTGGTGTATGTTTTTTTGAAGAAAGGTTGATTGATTGATTTTCAGACTAGTACAATTAAAGAATTCAATTACGAAATATATGTATTACACTGGATACTAATACTACTGCTTACTATTACTACTACTACTGATGATGATAATAATAATTCATGTGATCCGATGATGTTAAATACTATTCGTTGTAGTTTGGAAGGATTTTCTACGCTTTTTCTTATTATCATTGTGTTCCTTTTTAACTTTTTTTCTACCCCATAGAATGAAGAAATTTTTTCAAGTTTCTTATTATTATCTTACATCTCGATAACTAAAATTGAATAAAATGCATAATTCTGTATCATACTACTAATCAATACACACTGTATTTTTCTCGTCATCCATTATGAAATTACAATACCGAGAAAATGTTTCAATGTTGATTCGAAACTGTGATATCTATTTAAGTAAACAATAACTGATTTTAGATGTTTGAATTCTCTGTTGAATAACATCTTCCGGTAAAATAAATGTTCATATATACAAGAGTTCCTTACAGAATATGTAGCGCTCTCAGTGATTTTTTTGCTCCTTTTGTAGACAGCTAATAATAAAATAATTTTTTTTATTGTTGTGTGTAAACAATTCAAAAACTTAATTCTAGAAGTAGGACAAAGTGTGCACCTTGGATCCCATTGCTAATCACATCTCATGTATTTTGTATAAATAATTATACATTTTTTTACTTCATGAAATTATACCTAAAAGTTGAATCAATCAAGTTTAGAGTAGTGACTTAGTTTTTCATTGTCAAACTCGAAAAAATGGCTCCAACAAGATCTCTCTATAATAGAATAGTCAAGAAACTTCGAACTGATGAAAAATGATCTATTTGAGTCCTCATGGAATAAAATGGGAAAAACATGGGAGATGTTTACTTATTCTAGTCCGAATTGTTACAAATTTAAATCACTCAGGATTAGTACGTTTTCGGTTCACTTCAAGTTAATTCTGGCATACAATTTTATTTTTCCGTTACGTTTTATCGTATTTTAGCAGTTATGTTGATTCTATCCACTAAATTGAATTCTATTTTTGCGTAACAAAAATTGGCTTATCTATTCATATTACTCTTTAATTATTGTATACAGTAATATTGTTTAATTGTCTCTTGATTATTATTATTATTATGTTTATATATCGTTAATAGTTTACCGGGCTACCATCATATTGTAAACTATACTTGTGTACATGTTGGTGTGCGTATATATCAATCAGTTTGTTTGTTCGTTTGTTCATCTCTTACATGAACATACAATTCACTAGATGCTATAACATAATGGTATACAACTGGATATTATTGACAGACTTGAAATAGTGTAATAAATAAATCTCATGGACATGATAATATTTATTGTTATTAACTGTAGTTCATAAATTGACATTTTGTAATTTCACTTGTATACATTATAAACAATCTGTTTTGTTTAATCATTATCATTAGCACATCATGATTGTCAATATTTTGAAAAACTGTTTACATTACACCGTACAGCTAATATATATATATATATATATATATATATATATATATATATATATATCAGATAGAACATTGGCTGTATAGTTAAGACATTCAACCATCAACTACTAGATTCAAACGAACAATACTAGATGAATGTAAAACTTCACCCCATTGCACAAGCAAGTGGCTATCAGGACTCAGTGGCCGAGGGGATAACGCGATGGCGTTTGAAGCAGAAGGTACTGGGTTCGAGTCTCAGAGTGAACATCAACTCTGAGATGCAGGTACATCCAGCTGACGAGTCCCAAATAGGAAGAAACTCGCGTCCTGGATTCCACTGCTAGCCACTACCCATCTTTGCTTATCAACTACTAGGTTGTAACTTTTATTTCCTATTGATATCAGTATCCCTTACAAACAAAAGCGTAACTGTTATTGTTACTGAATATATCATTATAGATTACTTTACAGTAGAAGATCGACTAGAAGCGTTATCTTCAACCAGTGGATGAAGAGAAAGAGTTAATTTAAAAGAAAACAGATCTCATAATGATAAATATCAAAGCATCTTACAAAATGATTTTAATCGTCTTCCTTTTCAATCACTTAATGACAATTAATTAAGTTACTTTAATTATTTTCTAATAGTTTTAGACAAAGTAAACTTGTAAATAGAAAATACCCAATAACACTCGAAAATAAAATAATAACTTTTCCCTCTCTTTCTCTGTTATTTCATCTGACACACTATTTCACACTAAATAGTTAAATAATTCCAATAGTTGAATTCACAAGTCGACTAAGGCTAGACCACCATTGAAAAACTGGAAGCACTGGACTCCTCAGCGATCCCGCACACTTAAGGCGGTTATTCACTGAAGACAATGAAAGACGGTCACGCATTATCGTGGATTGGTTGAAGTTAGATATTAACACCGTTAGATGTCGGCCGGCTCAGCGGTCTTAAGGTTGAGTGTTTGCGCGAGACCGAAGGTCCTGGGTTCAAGTCCCACGTGCAGGATCGTTGATGCGCATTGCTGAGGATTCCCATACTAAGATGAAATGACCGTCCAGTGCCTCCAGGTTTTCAGTGGTGATCTAGCTTAAATCGGCTCATGAATTTAACTCTTAAAATTACTACTATCTCCACAACCCCCCATTCTGATAATTAAATAGCTGTCATGTATTAGATGTACTAACTATCCGGTTTTTTCCAACTTAATTAATGCTAATAGTGTAGTCATTTATCATTGAAGAATATTGTGATTTCTGGAAACAATTCAAATTCCATTAGGTATTTGTCGCTACTGATAATTTTTCGTTTTTAATAGGTAAACATACTTATTCATCCGCCCATTCATACAACAAATGTATGCAATAATTTTAAAATAATACTTAGTTGTATAACTTATTCTTTTTATTGAGAAGGCAGGTTGCATTTCCACTCTTGTTTTCCTCATACTTATTTCTTATTCTGATTTTTATGCTTCTACCTCAACAACAACAAAACTGTCTGGGCGAAACACACGCACTTCTGGTTTGTTCGCATGTCTCCTCATAATAAAATAATATTAATAATTTAAACATTATGGTAACCTTTTCAAATGATCTATTATGTTGCTTATAATATAATGTTGTTTTCTTTTTACCAATGTTCATAATTACTATTGGTCATGATATCATGTTGCTCCAGACTTGTCAGTCGTTTGCCAGCATTGTGTTTGATCGACCTCGTCTTTATTAGGTCAATAGTAATAATAATAATGAACCTCTTATCCCTTCTTCTTCCTACTTCTTTTCTTTGTTCCTTTTTTTAATCCATTTTTCCTATCCTCCCTCCTTACTCTTTATCATTTATTGTCTCTTGCACTATAAATAGGTTTAGTTTATTAGCCTTTTTGTTCTCTAGTCTTATTGTTAACCCGTTAAAAGATGAATTGTGAATTCATCACGATAAACCATTCAATCATTTACATGTAATGTCTATACTTCTTGTCTGTATGCATTTTGTTCAGTTTCCTTATTAACTGTAATATGTGTCTATAATTAACTATGATCTATCTTTCTATATATTTTTTGTTAGTTTGACAACTTAAGCATTTATTTGTAGCCGTCAGTCTTTGCATGTGGATGATGATACGTTATCCTAGTTTGCATTTTTTTATTTGCTCTCTCTCTCTCTTTATTCCTCCATTTACTGTCATTTTCATATTCTTGTCATCTTGTTTATTGGTCAATATCACATTTACAAATTTATCACCTATTTTTTAAGTAATTCATCTATAACCAGATCTTAGTAGTATTATTGTCACTTTATTCACTTTAATTCTTTATAATGGGGAAAAACGGTTTTTTTTTAGACACCGTTTCATACATTGTATTGGTGAGTAAATGTAGGTTACACTAATTTGTTCTTCTAATAGTGATTTTTTTTGTTGAAAAAAATGGTCTATAAACTGTAACCTACTTTTGATTGACATTTGTTTTTTAAGATATTCAAACTTCTTCCAATAATTCCTTACATACTATTGTTCACTACTAAATAAAACTATGATAATCTACTTAATACTACTTGAAACTTATTTAAGTAGTTAGGTGTCAGTCAAAACTAGGGAAATTATGATGTTTAATAATATCATTCATAGGCAAAATTACTGTCTTATTCCTCTCATTTCTCTTATTTGGCTAAAATGAATACTTTTATATTTATCAATTTATTATTAATCTGTAATTTGCATGCTTTGATGACAGCTTGCTTTTTTTGCTTGCCTTTTTTTCTGTCTATATTAATCTGACTTTGAATCCTGTGACGCGTTTACTATGCTGCTCTGATGCACGTCGTTTTATTCTACAATAAATAAATGAATCTGTATTTGCACACACACACGCGCGTATACACAATTACATCCATAATTCACGTACAATATATTGATATCTATTTGGTTTGTTCATTCAACTGTTCTCATTCCCTCTTGAATCGGTAAAAAAATAACTACAAAATATATATTGATGAACAACGATGATGGTGATCGTGATGATGGTGGATAATCACATTGGATAATATCTTGTTCTTCTTGCTTATACTACTACCACTACTTATACTACTGCCATAAATCTCATTTATGTACAACTGCCTATTTTCTGGACTATGTGCCAACGGTATGGAATTTATAATCGTGGTATGCCCTAAAACATTCCCGGATTCTCCTAAATTGTCGGTATCTTTTCGCCTATGTGATCTTTATCAAGGTGGAATTATTAACATCGTGTCGAGATGTTGCTACTGCTTTACGTAATGTGTTTCTTTCATCCGGTAAAGTACAAGGGCGTCCGTCCCTAGATCCTATTTATGATGAAGTTCGAACAAACGCTCAGGTTGGTTTCTTATTTATATGTATTCACTTTTTGGTCAATTTCCTTTATGTAGATGTGTACTAGAAAGCACGTGTTTAGCGTTCTTTCACAAACTGAATTTAGTAAAATAATATTTGGGCCTATTATTATTATTATTATTATTATTATTATTATTATTATTATTATTATTATTAGTAGTAGTAGTAGTAGTAGTAGTAGTAGTAGTAATAGTAATAGTAGTAGTAGCACTAATATCGTTAAAGACTGTAGCTGCTACCACAGTTTATGTTGTACAGACAAACTGTATAAGGGCGTGATATCAGTAAAGTGTTTCTGTTGGATAACAAATATCTACAGAGATGCTGAATTTCCACAACGGATGGAGTTAAATATCAGTCTTTTTTAAAATGCGCTTCTGTAACATTTTAATGGTGTGTTTAGTTCAGAGAGGATTTTAGTTACTGGCTAGAAGTTGGAAACAATTTCCGAAGATATATTGACATTAAGACGAGGTACTTATTGTTATTCAGAAAAATAATCTCTATGCATCGAATATGACTTCGAAAACCCAAACCTTATATTTAGTCCGTACTCTTGTTGAATACCCGTTTTTGAAACACGTTAAGCTGTGTCACTGTTTTTATTTTCCTAATTAGGTTGTTATTTCTAATGTTGGTCAGCTCCTTCAAACACTAAAGTCAGTAGAAGAAGATGAACGACGAGGCATTCGATCTCTTGAGCTAGCTGCTAATTATTGTCGTGAACAAGCTAAACTCCTTCCATCATCCAAGGATCCAGAAGGTTTGCTTACACCAAATAGTTCACGTAAATCAGGTCCACGTAGTACTTCAGTTGCTAGTGGTTCTTCTAGTTTAATTGCTCGTTATTTAGCTCCAGATGATTTAGCTCGTGCTGCTGGTGGACCTGTTCAGTCAGCTGTTTCAAAAGCAATCTTAGCGAATAATACACAAATCCAACGTGACATTGTCCAGACATCATCAGCAACACGAGATGCAGTCGCTGATTTAGTTGCAGCTGCTAAGGTAAGGGTATGACAGTAATTTCTACTGCCTATAGATATATTTATTTGTAATTGGTCAACTTTTGTGTCTGATAGAAGATGCATTCGGTTATGTGATATTTGAACGAATAGAAATTATGCTCACAAAGACTACAAAACTGTATGCAACAAATAATAACAGACAGGCCAACAGAGAATGGCTAAGAATGAAACTTTTGTAGCGTTAACTTTATATAATTTTGAAATGTTTGTCTTCTTCATTGTGAATTATAACTAAGTATTTCAATCTGATTTACTATATCGATTAGTAGCTCTAGTAATGTATTATTTACAAAGAAATGAAACGAAGTAATCATACCTAATGTAAAAGTTTAGAATATCTATGTATATATTCACTTGAGATGGAGATTTTGGTGTTGTTAAGTGCTTTAAGCTAAATGGCTTAGCTGAAGAGCTTTCATTTTCATTCTGGACAACGTCATCAACTTCCACTTCATAATTCTGTAACATTAACGTATCCACTTAAGCTAGAAATTTTCTTCATCATTTCAAAATATAATAAGAGTAACACAATTCTACTTGTTAATTGAGAGAATTTCGCCTAAAGTCGAATTCCCACAAGAGATGAAGGCAACCTCCAACAGTCAGTATAACATAGAGGCTTTAGTAAGCAGAGATGGATAGTGGCTAGCAGTGGAATCCAGGACGCGCGTTTCGTCCCATTTGGGACTCGTCAGCTGGATGTACCTGCATCTCAGAGTTGATGTTTACTCCGGGACTGGAACCCAGTACCTTTCGCTTCAAACGCCATCGCGTTATCCGGTATCAAACAAACAATACTAAGTGATTAGAGGCTTTAGGTTACTACCTTTCTTATGAGACCAGGAGATGCTTGACGTTAACAGATGCTTTTGCAAAAAGCTTATAAAGTTTAAGCTATAATTCTATTCATTAGGTTGCCACAATGATCTATGTAGAATTGGTGATGTTGACTCAAGAAACCCGTTTTGGTACAAGTACCAGTTATTTATGCTAGAACCGGAAATTGAATGTATTAAATTTATGAACAATCTATTGATCATTTAATCTTCCATGAGGAACCGAATCATGGTCTCCAACTAACACAAAAATTAGGTTGTAAAAGGAAGGAGTAGTTAAGATTTTATCATAAATAGGGGATAAGATATTTTCCTATGTTCTGCACGAAAATGAACGTTCTTAAAAGTCATTTCAATTGTATGCAATCATAAGACAATATCACCAGTTAAATTTGTGGCTAGTCGGATTGATTTCCATTGTCATCAGCCCTGAACCTTGATTTTAATTTTATTGGTTATTAACATTTAGAACCCCTGAGAAATAGGACTGGCATCGTCACCAAAAAATTTTGCCACTGAAAAAGCTAGCAGTAATAGGTTAATACGTAGACCTAAGCAATAATTTGAGATATAACGGTATTGTTCCGAATTACAAACAGGTATGACACATTAGTCTACCAGAAAGGATTTAATATGATGAAAATATTATATCGTTCCAAACCAAAATCGCATGTCACTTTATCAGCCCATATATCTGGCCTTTGACCTCAGTATGTCTACAAAAAATAAACTGCTAAGTTTTTCGGATAGACTTTTTTCCCTCTGATTCGAAATGGACCAATTATAGTTAAAGCCTGCTGTTCATTCCTCGATTTTTATGGCTTTTTTAGCTTTATGTTGCATATAATTTATGTGTGGCTAGGCTGATTCAAACCGAACAGGAAAGAAGTATTATAAGCCCGACATCATAGTCCAATGACTTTACACAACCTAACTACTACAAACCTTCTTTCTATTTTTATACCATTTAACGTGTCAGTTTATCGCCTAGTCAAGTCACTTTTTAACCTTACCCCCCATCATGTTATCATTCTTTCTTTCTATGGTCCAATCACACAATTCTCGAATATGATTGGTTAATTATTGATAATGTCAGTTAAGTGACGAAGCTATTATCTACTACTTATTATCACTATAGTTTGTATGATTCCGGATTTACTAGAACAGTCATTTGATGCCTGTATTCTGTAATCGGTTAATATTTCCATGAGTTTTCAGGAGATGACTTGTTTCCTCTCTATTTTCAATTTTAACTACATTATTGTGATGAATTGTTGTCGGCTAGTGTTTACTACGTTATTCGGATATTCCTCCGGAGACACGATCATCATGTGCTATAGTGACAAGGGAGTTGGCTGAGGAATTCGCTGCTTTATTGGATGCTCTTAAAAATGTAAGTTTATTTTATCTTTGTTATTTTTTGTGGTTAACTGATTTACCTCACTATGTGATTTTATTTATTACAACTGTTTGTATATCTGCTCATTTATTCTCATCGTTTGTTGCTTTTATTTGTTCACAGAGAAGACTTGATTTTTAGTTTACATAATTTGCAGTTTTTATTTAATGTTTTATTGTTAATGTCGTAGATAATAATAATCTGTTATTTACATGGTACGTACATTTTGTAATTTGCTGAACAAATTAAGTTTGATTTCAGTTTCATGATGAATTGGAGTAAGCTATAGGTTTATTTCATAAAACAGTTTAGTGTAAATGTTAAATTAACTATGAATATCAAATAGCTCTCATTCTTGCTTTCGTGACTCGTTCGTATTTATCATAGTTTATCACAGAAGTACACTAATGACTCCTTTTTGTTGTTTGGTCTTTTTATTTCCAGTTTAGATTTTGGTAGTTGAGTAGTACTTTGTGAATCTTGCATAGTAGTTAATTAATCTCAGTTCATGTATTTATCAGTATGACTAGTAGTTACTTCTACTACACTTTTTGCATTTGTCAATTTTTCAGTAGCCAAAATCTGAGTCTTGTTACATAGCCCAATGTACAATGCCGACTTAGTTAAAAGACATGTGCTCGGTTGTTATTCTAACTACTCTGACCTAGGTTAGTCTTGTCCCATTTGATTTTTGCCTACTCCGTGTTGGTGTGTCTGTTCATCATCAAAGGATATCCTATTTTCTATTGATCGCTTTCCTATTTCCAAAAATGAATCAATCTAGTTATTTTCAGTGAATCTTTTGTTTTTCATCCCTCCGTCCTCACCACCCTAGCCGGAAATATTTGGGGATATGGTAGCTTAGTCATCTATCTGGTCCGAGTTTTCAGCATTTATTTTTCTTTGCTCTTTAGACCATATATGGGTTAGAACAAGAATATTTCCTACTGTCTGTTTGTTGTAGACTGTTAGGTTAGTAGAAGAACAAAACAGCTTCGATCTTTTCTCATCTCAGTTGTCAACCTCTATGTTTTGTGGGACGTCAGTTGGTTGGCCAATCACAACGGATGACCTTTTTTGCCTTATTATATAACTGAAACAGTTGGTTCTTTTATTCTGAGTAAATCGATCCCATACACAATAAAATAACGATGTCAGTCAAGATTAAGCAATGATAGTATTTTGGTACGAAATTTACAAGTCAGTATTTGTTTTATGAATATTTCATTTCTAAATTGTGGGCTGAAACTATAGATGTCATAAGGAGAAATTATTATTAAAAATATTAGTGAGTTAATAAGTTCATAGTGTATAGGCTAATTTTGTCCCCAACATCTGTATATACTAAAAAAATACGATTTCTAACATGTACTCATTTATAATGTAAACTCAAATGTGGGGCAAAGTAAAATGTCCAACTGATTACACAATATTCATATGCATGAATAGCCTGGATGTACTTTATAAGAGTCCCTTTTCATTTCACTTCTTAATTGTTTTTGAAGATGATATGAAACCTTATCATTTTACTTGTAATTAAATTAATCCGGATTTTAAATAACAATCATAACCCTTTAAAATTTTGATTATAATAAGGAACTATTCTTCGGTTTGGGCGCCTGGGCAGTATTCCAGCTCTCACACAAATCATTTGATTCGTGTGACGCATATATATTTGGTGGCTCTTTGTACCAATGTTTGTGTTTAGATAATTAAATAATGCGGAACCAATAACACTTATTTCTAGTTAGATTTCATAAATTAACTGGACATAGTAATAAATCAGTTTAATATACAGTTCAGAATCGAAAGATCAATGAAATGACAAGTTTAATTGTAAATCCATAAGAGCATGAGCTTGTACTCATCAATAACACCTATAATTTCTTAGTTATAGCTAGTTATATCTTGTCTGCCTAGAATAATATTAGTGATTTAAGTATATTATAGCTGTTCATTGATTGTCTTCCTTTTCCCATTAACAATTGAATTTTATTAAGTGTTCTGATTATTTATATTTAATTGGATTGCTTTGTTTTTAAATTTAGGGGTTATGCATTCCTAGGAAATCAGGTCCAGAAAATGTTTCGAATATAGCTCGTCGTATTGCTGATATTTCACACAGTTTGATCAATTTAGTTGACAGTCTTAGAGGTAAATTCATTTATCATATTTTAATTGAGCTTGTATTTAATTGAAGTATATATTTATTTATTGAATTTACAAGTGGAGATATAAGTTGTTTGCAGATTACAATTAAAATGTAAGCTCAACACAGTAATTCACTTGAAGACACATCGTTTAGTAATTTCTACACGGGTTTTTTGTAATTTACACTAACTGATCATAGCAATAAACATTCTCTGAAGCCATCGGCTTACGAAACGTCGTTAGGATATTACGAATATATTATTTTGATTAATAAACATAAACTATTACTAGTCTTGTTCTATCCTGACTTAGGCAACTGAATACAGGTTTATTGATTTTTTTTTAAAACGAAGTGAATCGGTTGCATACGTGAATGAGTAAAATCACATTGTTTAAATTTAATTGAACAAGATTGAACTTGCAAACCAACCATTTGAAAGTATAATACCGATGCCGATGCTTATCAACTTTTTAATAATTAAATAATATATTTATAATTATCCCAATGAGTATGGACTCAGCTTTTTACTTATTAGAGTCTTACGAATATATTAATGATTTTGCTATTATCAATAATTTACCAAACGCTCAATTTAATAGAAATTCGTAAATATTACTTATAACTAACAATAATTCATTTTAATGCATAAATAAATTTACTTAATTTAATTACAAAGTCATATACTACTTAAATATTTCTGAATAACAACTGGTCGTTGACAATAAAATCTAAATTATCTTTAATATTTCACTCTGTTGAGGATTTTAAAAATGCAAGGTTGATAACATTACATATCGTTAGTTCTGTAACTGGCATCGCGTGAAATAAAACTACCACCAAAAAATATATGATAAAATTTCCCTCTTAGGAGTTTTCGCGTGTCGAACCACATATACCTTGTTTTTAGTCAAAAGATAGATGGGCATATATATATAAGCTATCTTATGCTTTTTTAATGTCTGACAAGCTTGCTTATTTATTACGTTGACTAAAATTGTTTTCTTTTCTTATTTACTCTCCCCCTCATTTATATGTTGATCTCACCTGAAAAATAATGTACATGGCGCCTGCTACAATATTACACATTGTTCTTTTTTTTCTCAACTACATGTAACCTAACCATGTATGTAATTGCATTTACGAACTATGTTACTCCGTCATTACATTGTATATATATGGGTGTGTATGCTAACGATTTTGTTATTTGTTTATCATGTGAATGTTGTAAATTTCTGTATTTCACAAATATTTATAATTTTAATTAAAACAGAGGGACCACGATTGATTATGTATTTTCGTGCAAGCAGTCCGGAATGTGAGTTTTTTATTTCAATGAAATTTATGTTAAATGCACAAAGTTTTTTCGCTGTAACTCTTGTGTTTTTGTTTATTGATACACTCTTTATATGTCAGTGCTTTATGGTATTTTATCTTCTTTTTTTCTTTCTTTGTGTCTAATTGACATAGTTGTCGATCATTGTTTTATTTTTAAGTAGTAGAATTTTAAGTTTGCTAGTAACACCAGTTAATCTACACATCTATGACTAAATTGTTTCTTTCTCTTCCAGGGCGTGATGTTGCTGAAAAGTTTATCGGGCGTCATGTAGCTTATCATCATCATTATGTATCAAATTATGCTTTAGGTAGGTTTTCCTCCTAAAATTTTCGAATCTATAAATACTACCTTAGTAATCAATGTAGTATCTGTTCAACTTTATCAAACTAAAACCATTTATCTTTTCAATTTAAAGGTGGCGGTTCAAAATCACACAAAAGTATTTTCATTCGTCCCACATGTTATCCTCTTCAAATATCGTCTGATCAAACTACTGAGCAAACTATGAACGATGAAGCAGAATGTCGAATTGTCGATGCTATTAATCAGCTTAATTCATCGTTGGAAAAATGCGTAAATTATTGACGATTTATATATATGATTTCGATAGTAGACTAGTCGATGTGATATGTATGGGTTACTTGGTGTCAGCGGACATCTTGTGTTCGCTATTAAAACACACCAGTGACCAGACATATCCCTATCGCATAGTTTAGATCATCTGTGTTTGTCTTAGTTTTCATGTCGCTATTAAGATTGAATTTTTTTTAACATACTCCCAAAAATCGGTATTTTAAGTAGATAGAGTTTCATCGTGCTTCGCTTAGCTATGTGTTAAACCAGTTGTATAAATAATGTGCAGTTGCATATTGTTTATGGTTTCTGAGTAAACATGTATGTGAACAGAATTCAAACACTGTATCAACCAACATTTTCACTTTCATCTGTTGGACTGTAGTAGTAGTAAACATTTAGTTTTCTTTAAAATTCAACAGATGTTTAAGGTGCACACAAAAAATATACTTCTGTTGGCAGTATGAAATTTCTTTGTAAGTATATCTTGACAGTAGTTTTGCTAAGAAATAACTTTTACAGGCCGATGTGAGTTAGCCCTCACGTAGTGTTGAGCTTCCAAAACACACATGTCTGTATTATTTTAAAAATCCACTGCAGATGCTGGAATAAAGCAAGAATTTATGAACTGAAAACTGTCTAAGAAATAAAAAAAACACTTATGATATACGAACTCATCTTTGTAATACCTTTATGTTGTATGATAGTCCGGTTTCCTTGTTGCTTATACTTGATCGTACTCTATGTGCAGATAGAATCAGCTTCCGCAAGTTTCTAATTGAAGGTTTACTTCTGTGTTAGTTACTTTACATTTTAGTAATATTTGATCCCTTAGTACTCAAGACTTTCGACTTTCACCCACTAGGTTCCAGGTTCGAACCTCTCTCCACCTACTTCAGTTTCAGCAACCAGATAGTATTATTAAAGCTAATAAGCAAACAAAAAGAAATGTGGGTAAACCCATACATACTATTGTGGCATGATAAATCGAACCTTGTAAATACGACTTTCGTATTGCATTTGAGTTGTGGGGAGAAATATCCAACCCTATCTTTCAATTTATACTAATAATCGCTTTTTCACTATTTCAGTCGGCGGACAATAAATTAGCTCAATCTCTTCTTGTCACGGCGCGATCAGTCGCTATATCTGTTCAAAATCTTATCAGAACCGCAAGGACTGTTATTTCCGTACCCCCAAGTAATGCTGTCGACAGAGCTCGGACGGCAGAAGGTGCTTCACAAAAGAGTACTAGCTCAGCTGCTCTTTGGCGTACTGAACTTAATGTATCGCTTGCTACTCAACACTTGTGTCAACTGTCCAAATTATGTTCGGAAACAGTACCATCCATAACCTCGCAAAAATTTGAGAATAACACTGGGGAGTTATCAGGAGGATTAATTTTATCACGCGAAAGACTTCTGGCTGCTGTGCATCAAGTGGCAACTGCAGGAGCTCAGTTACTCTTAGCAGCTAAATTAAGAAAAGAAGCTTTAATGTCTGCTGATATTCGAAAGTTGAAAGTGCGTTTTATTTCATGAATATTCTCTTTCGAAAACTTGAAACATTGAGTGAATAGGAAAAACGCAACTTTTAGGAAAAATAGTGATATTTCTGAGATAAACGCTTGGTTATCTGTATACGTGAAGCATCGAAAAGTAGTGAACACATCATATGAATGAACCCATATTAATTTTACCTTAATATGAACTGACTGACTAACGGGAGATAGGTTGGAATACAGTACTATATAATCTAATGTGAAGCTATTAAGGTATTTGTGTAAACTCATCAGTCTAATCAAGGACAATTTTCCATCTAAATAGAGTACTACCGGGCAATGTCGCTATTGGGATTCAATGATACATTCGCTAAGTTCTAATGGTTTCTTACTACCACTATTGAGCGGCTAATATTACTTGGTCTTTAATAAGATCAAAGTAGTTGTAACCTTCAGGATATGGACTTCATTGCTGTATGTATGTTACTGCATCTGCCTTCATTTGTAAAGGAAATATAGTTGAACTGTGGTTAGTCAAATTTTTTATACGGTACTTCTTTTATTTAACTGCAATAGTACAGAAGCATATTAGTCGAATTAAAGTTAAGATTTTGTAAATTATGTTAGAAAAACTAGCAGCTTTATGATACCCTTTCAGAGTAATAATTTTAATGAAAATCTTTTTAAGGGTTTTGTTCAAATTTAAAATAGCCATTAATAATTGATGAAATCTAGACATTGCAATGCTTTTCTGAAATTACACTTTTATTTCAATCTCTGTATAAACAGACTGCAGGACAAGCTGTTAAAGAGTCAACAGACCTACTTGCTGAAACTGTTCAACGAGGTGACATAGTTTCGAGTAGTTCAACTTCACAAATAGAAATCACTTGGCCAACTTACACAAATCAAGCGTTGTTACAGGTAAAATACAATGCTATTTTATGGGATTTTGCATAAGAACAAGTTCAAGTTACCAATTGTTTTTTTTTCATGTTTCAAAATTAAATCTGAAGCTCAATGTTAGTTTTAAGATAAATCTAATAGTGTTTGATTAATGATGATGGCATTGAACAAGAAATCCGCCTTTAATGCGCTTAAGACAATATTAAGGCGAGTCGTACATGATGCACATATATCAATAACAGACTGATTAACTGCAGTCCTAAACATCAATCAATGCGAAGATTCAAACAAACAACATAAATTTTGTTTATTTAGATGATAATGATTTATTTTATTAATGTTAAATGATATCAACAAATTCAATGAGGCATCTTTAAAACGAGAAAAGTTAATATTGATTTTGATCAATAAATTGTTGAACATCCAGTTCATGAGATGATCGTAATCATTTGTTAGTTATTTAACTAATGTGCTTATAAATTAAAATGATTAGATTATTCTTGATCAAAGAATGAAATCTGAAAAAGTGTTACGTTAGTTTGTCTATGTACAATTAATTATTATTATTTTATTTGAACACATAAATATTGGTAGGAAAGGGCACCAGACATATATATATGCGCCACACAAATCTCATTTGATTTGTGTGAGGGCTGTGATACTGCCCAGGTGCCCAAACTGAAGCAAGTGGTTTTCTTAGGAGGCCACACCCAGAGCCTTTGACCTGAAGGTCTAGTCCACAAGGTAGTGGAGCATCGTGAGAAGGTGCAATCCCATAGTAGTCGGTGACCGACGATTGGTTCATACGCCATTTTTCCTTTAGGATATTGGAGCCCATGTGCACCATTGATTTGAAATGAGGGTTTTCCAACTCCCCTAGGTGGACTTTCCGTATCCACCTACCCGGTTAAAGCGCCTGATATTCGCTTTTCGTCCTCTCAATTTCGTAAACAACACCCGTGGTGCGAGAAGGCAGTGAGTAGGACTTCCCTGACAGAGGCTATATATTCGCGTGGTCATGTAAGAGCATTTCTAGAGGGAGAGCGGACTCTCCCCACTCTCGGTCGTACCAGGGCATTTGGAGGTACACAATTAATTATAGGGGTTGAGCGTTCGACTACGAGACCAAAGGGCTTGGGTTCGAGTTTGGCGTGAGAGATCGTTGATGCACACCACTGAAGAGTCCCATACTAGGATGAAACAGTCGTCCAGTGCTTCCAGGCTTTCAATGGTGATCTAGCTTAAATTGACTCCTAAATTTAACTAATAAAATTCCTACTATCTCGACAAACCCCCATTCTGAAATTATAATTTATATTTTTTAATATTTTCATTAATTTTCCTAGGGTATCCATACAAAAGCACGAATTCAATCTCAGCAAATGGAATTAGAAGCATTAGAATCACGTCTTGCTAGTTTAAAACAATCATCATAATCATTATCTATATAGATAAATTTACATTGTACAGTACTATTAAATAATCATTTCAACTGGAATAAATTATTCCTATGTTTATTTATTGATTCTTTTATTAGTAGTATATTCTAGTTGTGTTTTATCTTTTTCGTAAATTTTTTCCCCTTCATTTTCGTTACTTTCATTCAGATTAAAAAAAATTTACTTATCCTATTTATGCATACATATACATGTATGCGTTTGCATGCTTCACTCCATGTGTGTGTGTGTGTATGTATACCTACTTACCCACCAACATACGCTTTTTCATTGTTTTCTTTTTAATTGTCAATTATTTATACATTTCATTTTTTCTTTCTTATTTTTATTCTTAATCCCAGTGATTAAGATGGGAACAAGTTGATTATGATCATTGATAATACTTTATTTTATTGAATTTAACCTACAGATGTCTGCATGATAATATTAATTTAAATGCATGTAATATACACCGCTTTTGAGATTATATATTATAGAGTTGTTAATTATTATTGGAATATTTGCCTTATTGGTTTTTTTTCAATTCCTTTGTTTTTATGATGCTTACTGGTTTTGTTTTGGCGCCGTCATTTTAAAGCCTTATTCTTTAAATTATTTATTACATTTTCTGGATAGTATTATGGTACTTTGATATAATAAAAAATTGGTCAAAATGTGTATACTTTTTTTAATAGCTCTAACTTACTGATGATGAATGGTATATGTGTCAATCTCTCTGCAAGACAATAGCTATTATCCTGCTGAAAATATTTCTTCATTAATGGGTATCGGATAATTGAATCCCATCAGCCTTGACGTTTGAAGTAAACTGGCTTACTGTGTTGACAAATCTCGTGGTTGCTTTTCTTGTGAGCTGTTTAAAACAGCTAGCTTTTCTTATTTGACTTATTAAAACCAATAACGCAGTGGACAGATTTCAAGAGAAATCTTTTGGATAGTGTATATGCACTTGGTTTATGCAGATCAATACTAGTTTGATAGACCCGATGGTAATCGAGTCTGACACTATCACGGTCATCTCAGTCCTTGAGTATTCTTTGCGTAATCATTTAAAGGAAACTGTAACACGAGGAACACACCGGAAGTCCCTCCAAATCATTTTATTGGATAGAATTGTTATTTACTTGTTCTTGTATTCTAAACTTTAATCTCCAGTCTTCCTTGTCTGGGTATTCATCATCTGATTTTGGTTAGAGATTTGCCTTTTTATTAATTTTACTGCTGCATTTTGCCGGAGTATGGACACGACAATAGAGTCGCGTTTGACTAAACTCAAGATTACGGCGTGGTTGAATATATGGTTATTAACCTCTGACTATGTGCTTGGAAGGATTACAGGAATCTTCGCAGATCCCATCTTGTTAGGAATATTTTTGTTGATTCTGGGGTGTCATACTCGGATTTATTAACGATTCCTTTTGCTATTTTTTATTTTGTTCTAGAGAAACCTTTGACTGTATAGCACAGGTTGTCCCACATGGGGTATTTTGCACTTTTGATATTTGTTTCATTTCTTAAATTCCAGTCGTCTAAATTGGACAGTTTGTGTTTTGCTATAACTTAGTACGAGTCACTCAAAAACGCTTCGCACGCTATATAGAAGAACATAGTTTGGCCTAATCATATAAACTTTGGTTCGTTAGTTCTGCGTTCAGACCAAATACAGGAATCTCAGCCGTTACAGAAACTATGCACCTCTGATTGAAAACTAAGATTTTGCGTGATCAATTTAAACCATTTGGATCTTTTTTATCAACGAATACATTTTTACAACCGTATATTCGCACACATTCCTAATTTTCACTTCATCTAAGTTGTTTGATAGGACCCACATGAAGGAGAGAAATCTTCATGATTAGCCAAAATCGATCTTGTTGATGCACATCTTTGTTTAGATACCTTGTCAAATCCAAAATATGCATTGGAAACGTAGCTAAGACGATTTTACATACCAATATCTAAACCATAGGACTAAGTGGAGTTATTTAAGAAGCGAGCAGTTTACATGGACGAAACTTCCAGCTAAATCAGTTTGATTCGAAATTACATTATTATCTCTTTCACCCCATGTTAATCGTATTTATTCTGATTTAACGTATAAACTTATTCAAGTCAACACTTCATAATAGTTAACCCAACATTGACGACTTTTTATTTACAATCCTAAATTAACATGCTATAGTTTTGAAACGATGTATTTTGACTTAAACATAGCCGCTTTTCTGATTACTAATTTGGATATGAAATTGTAGAACCTGTAGAGAATATTTTGGAAAGAGTATTATTTGTTCATATATATTTTTCAATATGGTGGGAATTTCTAAGCGATAAATCAGTTTCCGCATATCGCAATGACTCAGTGGTTAGTGTATTCGACTTTAAACCATTAAGTCCTAGGTTCAAAGCCCTCCCCATTTATTTCGGTTTCAGCAACCGGTTAGTTCCACTAGCCTTTGGACTTGAAACGTGGCTCACATGTAAGTGTCTGGTAAACGAGTTAATAAGAAAGTAAAATGAAGTATTGTAGCTGATACGTCGTTAAGCTAAACTGTACTTTATTTCATACAAGTAGATACGATCGACATTAGTTCGTGAATTAAGAAATTTGGGATGACTATATATAATGTATGTCGTCAATGTGCGATCCAAGGTGTGCGTTAAGTTCTGATTGAAACTCAATGTACTTGGATTTCAGAACAAACTAATGCTCGTCGTTTCAAAATCCAGAGCGTTATCCACTAGATTCCTAAGTAACGACAAATACCACATCCAAAAGTCATGATACACATATATTTGCATTTCGCGCCCACCTTATACGCCTCGAACAGCGTAAAACAAGCATTTGGCTTTCTGTTGTTAGATACTACAAAAACACGTAGTCAACACAACTTCAGACAATATCGATGTATACGTTCAAAAAGCCTATAAGTTGACTGAAACTAATCAATCCAGAATATTCATAACAGGCGAATCCCAATTCTCACTACCACATTATCTGTTTTGAAAGATTATTGCAAAGTTTAGGTGTAAACATGCGTAGGTTCTCAAAGTTGAACATAATAGGAATTTATATCCCATTCTGAATAACTAGACAACCTGTACTCTAAAGGCGGAAATTACTTGTAGGTCGGAAAGAGAATATCCAAGTAATGGTTTATTACTGGAACATTGTAGTTATCAGAAGTTTTAGTTAAGAAATCACCATTAGTTCTAAGACTTCAACGCCGAAATTTGGTTGTCTATAAGATGATTCGCGTGAGACTAACTGAACTATAATTCACTAGTCACTCGGTGTTTGAATATATTGTAAATTAGCTGTTAATAATATAGGTTTATGGGATGAGTAAATGAAAAGATAAGAAGAGCGATGGTGATCATAAACAAATCTAATTTTAATCGTTCTGTAACTGAATAATGAATTAACAAATTTATAGATCAATCTTCTGTTGAAGTTAGTAAGAAACAAGACTAATCAACGAATAATTGTGTCTACGAATACATTGAATTCTTGCAATAAATGAGTTCTGATTTCATCCTTACCTCCATTGAAATAGTGGATTTATACTCATGATTAATTCAAAGTATCTACTTGAAAGACTTGATAAAAGAATTCTAATAAAAATCATGAAAACGCGACAGATACATGTATTATATTCACACATAAAGAAAATATGAGATCTATCAGATCTGATGGCATAGTAGGTACACATGAAAACGGTCTGTTAACCAAAGCCACTTCAGTTAGTTGTGTTATTCGTAAATAAAGTATTAACGTTCAGTGAAAATTCCCAGATTAAGATACTTTAACAAAATGTCATTTACAAAAGTTTGGCAAATATAACTAACTACTCATCATCGGAGGAATTGAGTAGTACACATAACTCATGACCAGGATATGTGGGTAGTTTCAAGTTGTATTTCTTCATTAGTGCATCTGGCACAAATCTCCCACCTGAAAATAAAATGAAAAGACTATATAAAACGTTGCATAAATAGAAGAATATCTCGATCTTGACGCTTTAAAGTAAGTAAACATTGTTAGCGGATGTGGGAAGTTTATTTGGCGAACTGAGGATACTGCAAGTCGTTTCACACTCAACATCTTGAATTCATATAGTTCAGCTGTTTATTGATCAATAAACAACATGATTTTGCATTAACTAAGTCGATCAATAATTTGATCGAAGCAACCCAACTCTACATAATAAACATGACAATATTTGTTTCCTTATTATTATTAGTTAATAAGTTAACAATGTAGATCTATATTTATTTTATCAAACACGTTTCTACATGTAGCATTTTCTTTATTCATTGTTCCATGAAAGAGTTTCGTACTTTGAGATTTTATTATTAACCCGAAATACTCAGATAGTGTCTTTCTACTGGTAATACCCTAAAATTTTTCTTTTTAGTTATATGATTTGAATTTATATTTTACGCACTGAGAATCCTCAATTACCACAATGACTCACGCATTCTCAGAATTAGTGACTTTATCTGCCAGGACGTTATCATGTCCTATTGTTATAATTGTTTTGCTAATAAACGACCCCAAAATCAGAACATGTCGAACAGGAACGAAATTGTATTCCAAATAACAAGGGTAGGTGAACAGCAATCAATCGTTAGAAAAACGTTTATATATTTATAGTATATACATACGAAACTTCTAGATGCTTTTCCAATAATCTGCCAGAGCTGATTGGTTTAGAATTAGTCAATCAGTGTGCGCCGTCACGACCATGCACATAACGTGTCTTAATCCGCTTTATTTACAGCCAACACCCATAGATTTCTAAACTACATATACAGGCGACTTGCAGTGACATCAGCTTTTGTGTAGACAGTGAAAGCTCCATTGAAAACAGACTAGCCTTCCCATTGTCATACCCTTATGTTGAGAAATTTTATTAACTAGGTATCGTTAGGCTGTGATCGATCTTTTCCTTATTAAATATGGAAGAAATACATTTACACTTCTCTCATTAAATGTTATGGAAACTTGTTTAGGCAAATACGTTATATAACGTTTTTTAATATGTGTTGATCATTAAAACAGTAATACCATTTTATGACCGCAAAATATGAGTCACTCACTAGGTTACATCATGTTCTATTCATCTTAGAAACGAAAATAGGTCAATATGACATGCAATTTTAAAATGATTTTATTTTCAAAAAGATTGTTTATACGTACATTGTTCAACGGTTAGATATTATCACGAAGTTAATGAAAAACCGTTTTGTGATTTAATTAACAAAGATAAATCAACAACTAGAGATACTTCGTCTAAATATACATAATTCTATCTAATAACTTGTAAATAATAATAACTAAGATTTGATGAGAAGTGTAAAATCAACTGTCGATACACAATTTTACTGTAATCATCGTTTGTGTTCTAGAGCCGGGTCTGACTGACTTTAACTACCTAGTGTCGAAATATAACTTGTGTTTTTTTAGAAATGAGTGTTATGTTGGAACTTGATTAATAGAATTCGTTCAATATTGAAGAGTAAATAAACATGAACTGATAGAGAATCGTAGTTTAGACGGATGGTTTTAGTGGAATTTCGTTCTCCAAACTGAATGATTCAATCGTGAAGCTTTGATTATCCTTTATTCCTTTTCTATCTGAAGTTTGTGCTGATGATGTTGTTTAGAAGAACTATGACAGCTTCACGACTAAACCATCTATAATTCAGAGGAATGAAACTTCACCAAAGACATGACATTAATTATCGTTTAATGATAAATTAGTGTGGATATGACAGTTCTACAAGTTGGTGAGTCATAGTTTCAATAACTTTGGTTAAAATCACACAAGAAGCATAAATTCCTTTGAAACTGCAGATGAATATGTCTAATTGACAAGTGTTAACTGTTGTTAAAGATAGATTACCGAGATTCCTGTCGGTAACCGCTAATCACCATACACTTCTATTTCCGGAGTAACTAACAATACCAGAGAAGCCAATAACTAGATCAAATGAATAAGCCTATATCGTATCTTCATTATTTAAAATGAAAATTATAAAAGAAAGTATCATTCGTTTAAACTTATCTAAAAAGTTCCAGCTTAAATATATGCCATTTCACTTTAGTTGAGAAGCTGGACAAAGGGAAAAATTGATTGAATAATCCCTTAACCAAATTCTATAAATAATAAATTTAATTATACATGTCAAGGATAAATGACCAATTAAACTTTAATCGCATCATTTTTAATTCATTTTTTCCACTTAATAATTAGACAATTAATTATAATTTATTAATGTAGATTTTATGGTCACAATTACAGTACAGACAGGAAGTTGTTTCGGCAACATGGTAGCCATAGAATTTTTATAACTATCCTGGAGAGAGAGATGAATGTTTTTCTAATGGGTAGTGATATATAAATATATATACTTGCAAACGAATTGATATATACTAGACTACTACTACTTGATAAGATAAACAAACTAATTGTTTATACAGTAGACTTAATCAATATACATAGAATTATGTGCACTGGATACATATACAAATGTACTTCAGATATTCAATCAATGAAGATAATTTTATGGTAAAGTATACTGAAAAACATCATGATAAACAGGACAATTAGGAATGGTCAAAAATAACAACAAACGTGTGTATATGTACATATTTGGATGGTTAATGTACGTATAACAATTTCTCACTAATTAACATAGCTGTCATAGAGAATAACGCTGAGTGGATAACGCAATGACGTTTGAAGCGAAAGGTACTGGGTTCGAGTTCGAGAGTGAACATAAACTCTGAGATGCAGGTACATTCAGCTGACGAGTCCCAAATAGGACGAAACGCGCGTCCTGGATTCCACTGCTAGCCACTATCTATCTTTGCTTTTCATCAACTATTAGGTTGTTTCCTAAAGAGTGAATTATTTCATATTTTTATTTTTGGTTGTTATCATTAACAGTGTTGGATGCTCGAATTCACATCCATTTTAATATGTTCGGACTTTTCTTGTACAAATAGTAAACAATTTTTTGTTTAATGAATCAACCTGAATTATTTACAACAGGACTCAGATTAAGAAGCTTTGAAAGGTTTACAGAATTCTAGAACTTTCTATTAGCTGCAAGCTGATTAAATTGACAACGAATAATGTATAATTAGAAATGACTAGGTCATGTAATTTAGTTGATTAAGATAAAAATTAAAAATGAAGTAATACAATAAAATTACTGAGAGATTATGTAGGACAGTTATATTGTTACTAGAGAAAACAGAGATTAACTACACTTATATGTATATAAATTTGTTAAGAAATGCTAGATCGTAAAGATTTCTGCAAAGTAAAATAAGTCAATTTATTATTAATTCAGTCACGAAAACATTCACTTTGTATTCACTGACTATCAAGTGTATGTCAACCATATTTCATTTTCTTCCAGGCATACATTACAACGAACACACCCCGGGAAGTCGTGTAGAGACTTTTCTTAGATCTTCTTATGTACTTGTTTTCAGAAGAGTATTGGAAATTCATAAGTTCATTAAGAGGTGATATCAAGAAAGGTATTTATATATGTTTGATTGATTAATAAATATTTGATATTATATACTAGAAGTAGCATAGCTCCTTTCAATACATCTATTATTATTCCCTATAAAATATTATATCCATAAGATGATAAACAAATGTAAACAGGAATTTTCTTTACAGCTAAATGTCTAAAATTTTGAATAAACTCATTTTTTGTATTTAATGAAAAATTGTCTCAAAATATTTGTTTCCTGTAAAATCATATTCATTGATTTCTAATTATTTTTATATTATATTGTCTAACTATAATATTTGTGATTGGCTAAAAAGTGTTTTGACTAAACTAAGCGTATATAGCCTCTACCAGGGAAGTCCTACTCACTGACTTCTCGCACCACGGGTGTTGTTTACGAAATTGAGAGGACGAAAAGTGAATATCAGGCGCTTTAACCGGATTGGTGAAAACGGAAAGTCCACCTAGGGGAGTTGGAAAACCCTCATTCTAAATCAATGGTGCACATTGGCCCCAGTATCCTGAGGGAACAAATGGCGTATGAATCAATCGTTGGTCACCGGCTATCATGGGATTGCATCTCCTTACGATGCTCCACTGCCTTGTGGATCAAAACTTTAGGTCAAAGGTTCCGGATATGGCCCCCTAAGAAAACCACCTGTTTCAGTTTGGACAGCTGGGCAGTACCAGAGCCCTCACACAAATCAAATGAGATTTGTATGGCGCATATGCATCTGGTACCCCTTTGTACCAATAGTTATGTGTTTAAATATATAAATAAATAGATTAAAAATAACAGCTTATCTTTATTACATTAATTGACTAATGTGTTTGAATAAATAGACTATCTTTATAATCAGTAGAATAAAGAACATTGCCTAGTTCACTTTTTTGTCTTGGGTTTGATTTTTCTAATTTTCACCTCACTTCTATATTTCATACCAAAGTAAATATAGACTGTTTGTAGTTAATGAGAAATCTTCCAAAATAAACTAGATTCACAGTTGACTCTGCAAATCTTATTGTTTTCATTTTGTTAAAAAAAGATTATTCAAAAAATTAGATGCTTCTAAATTTCGGTATAAACTGAATAGATATGTATGAGTATCCTTAGAATAAATTTATTTTGAAATAAAGTAGATATTAATGGTTTCTAATTAAAAATCTGCATATAATTTTAATCACTTGACCGATCTTTTTCCTAGAAACAACTGACAATAACTCACGTGTAAAAACCATCATATATACATATAAAGTGAAATTACCGAGAAAATGATACCGTCCTTGAAAGAAGCGGGCACATAATTTCGGTGCAGTTAATGAAATTAAACAATCCGGTTTTAAATTATTTTCATTATCTAATGGTCCAGTTTCCACATTCCATCCTGTAATGGAATAAATAAAAATATATAATAACCATTATATAGAAATACTGTAACATTTATTTAGCATCCTCCCCCACCTCACAACCAACATCACAGTTCTATTAACATGATTAACAACTGTCACTTAAAATAATTTTTCTTCTTAGGATTAGACTGAAACACTAGGTCACTACATTTAAAATAATCTTAATGACAAGTCACCTTGTTTTAGAGGGGAAATATCTGGGGAAAATATTGGAAATAGTTTTGGATTTTATGAAATTAGAAGGGAAAAAAGATGATGAAGCTTATAGTCGTTTACTGTTTATTTGTAAGATGATCATTCATTAATGGATAGTAAAAGTGCTGGGGAGATCCAGAATATACCTCGAAAAAAGCCCAGAGAGGCTCTGAAAATATTAGGAAACATCTTATCTAATCGGCATTGGATAGAAGTTTCTCAGAAACATTTAGTAAATGAAGTCATGTGTCACATCTCTGACTGAATGATTACCCAGCCTGCTTATTTATTTATTTATTTAAACACATATATATTGGTACAAAAGGGCACCAGGTACATATGCGCCACACAAAATAATGAAAGTAGGTAGATAAAGGATGAAAAGATAAGGCGGGCTGAAATGTACAACCAGAAGATTCTTTCAGTTAGGAAAGTTAGAACCATTCTTTATGTAGAAAGTAAAAGAAGGTTGCAGCAGGATCGCCACTGGCTTCTATTCTGAGCCATATCCGATAACGTCTCTAGCCACTGTGTTGCACTATCTCTCGGACCCCAACCAGGGAGTCGTGAAGGACCAACGGAAGCTAGCCCTTTGCAGCTCTCTTTCATGCCACGACACCATGTCATACACTGACCTCCTCTCCGCTTTCTCCAACCAGTCCCAGGGTCGGCAAATAATGCACGACGCGGAAGTCTCTGGGACGACATTCGTAAAACATGTCCGAGCCACCGAAGTCGGTGTTTCAAGATGGTGACACCAATTGAATTATCGTCTCTGCGCCCGAACACACGATGCCGAACCTCTGCATTACTAACATGGTGTTGCCACCGGATGTCAGCAATCCTTCGGAGACAACGATGATCGAACACAGAGAGACGTCTAACATCCTCAACTCGGAGAGGCCAGGTTTCACAAGCATAGAGCAAAACTGCTCTCACCGACGCGTTGTAGATCCGACCTTTTACAGCCAGACTAACATCACGAAGGCGCCAAAGATGGCCCAGATTGGCATAAGCCGCTCTGGCTTTCATTATACGTGCATCAATCTCATCACTCACGCCACCACCAGCACTTATATAGCTACCTAGATACACGAACTTCTCAACTACTTCGATCTCCTCACCATCCAGGGTGAGTACAGGATGAGAATCCTGCCAGTCTTGTAGAAGTACTTTGCACTTGGAGGGTGCAAAGCACATGCCGTACCTGCGGACACTGATTGCCAACTGATTAAGTGCTGATTGCATGCCTTGGGCATTATCGCACAGTAAGACAATATCATCCGCATACTCAAGGTCGAGAAGTCGTTCTCCAGGCAACATATCCACACCGCCATTACTTACATCCATCAGAGCTGTTTCTAGGATGTCGTCGATGGCAAAGTTGAAGAGGAATGGTGAGATCGGGCAACCCTGCCTAACCCCACTGCTCGAATGGAACAAGGGAGAAAGGTGGTTGTATGCCCTCACTCTGCCTGAGGTGTTCGTATACAGGGCCTTTAAGATGTTAATGAACTTCTCAGGCACACCCTTCTTCAATAGACAATCCCAGAGAACAGTCCTGTCCAACGAATCGAAGGCCGCCCTGATATCAAGAAACACTACGATTGTTGGCCTGCGATAAGTATGACGGTGTTCTAACATTTGGCGGAGGGTGAAGATGTGATCAATGCATCCTCGACCAGAACGAAAACCAGCCTGCTCCTCGCGAGTCAATCGTTCTCGGGTTTTAAACAACCTACGAAGAATGATAGAAGCCAATAGTTTGGACGCGATCGAAAGTAGACTTATCCCCCGGTAGTTATTGCAGGAACAACGTGAACCCTTTTTAAAGATAGGGACGACTATTGACTCATTCCATGATGTTGGAACACTTTCTTGCTCCCAAACCTTTCCAAACAACGCAGTCAGTTCCTTAGCCAGAAAGTCACCACCATCTTTAAAAAAAGCCGGAGGTAAGTCATCTGGGCCAGGTGATTTATAACGTTTCAAGAGTTGGAGTTCCTTGTGGACTTCCGCCTCGTTTGGTGGATCAGTCGTCACCGGCCATGGGGAGCAGGACAAGCTGGTTGATGTTGCCGGAGCAGCAGGCCAGTTGAACTGCCCTTCGAAAAATTCCGCCCATCGTCCAAGACGTCGACAGATGTTAGTGATTGGCATCCCGTCATCCTCGTAGATTGTTTCACTCACACCAGACTTCTTGCTGCCAGTGGCTCGGATGAGTTGGAAGAGCTTCCGGCAGTTACCAGATGCAGCTGCTGCTTCCATCTCATTAGCACGCTCCGACCACCAGGCTTCCCGGTCCTTACACAAGCTTTGCCCGATTTCATTACGTAACAGCCTTCGTTTGTGGTCAAACTCACGGTCACCCGGAGTAGACCGACGGGCTTCCATCAGTTGTAAGGAGCCAGAAGAAACCCAGTGCTTGTAAGCGGGACGTTTCGCGAAGCCGCAAGCGGCTTTACTCGCCATTTTCATGGCGTCGTGAAGATGCAACCAATGCTCGTCTATACTTTTCGGTGGGGTGGTAGCTAGCCTAGAGGCTAGCTCAGCTCGATACTTACTTGCAACAGAAGTTGCAGCCAGTTTACTAATATCAATCCGTTGGTGGTGGTCAATCCTTCGGCCACTGAAAAGTAAGGTGAGATTGGCGCAGACCAGGGCATGATCAGACTCCAGATAGGTACTCCAAAAGGAGCGGCAGTCTTGTACACAACCACGCCAGCGGTAGCTGATCGCGATGTGATCAATCTGAGTCCAGGTTTGGGATGCAGAGGGAGGACGCCAGGTGGCACACCGGCGATGACTGTGCCGGAAGTTAGTGCTGGCCAGAAACAGGTTGTGGTCTGTGCACAGTTGCAGCAAACGGTCCCCGTTATCTGTCCGGCGACCAACAAGTCCCCATCGGCCACCTAGACGACTCTCTTCTGTGCCTAGACGCCCGACCTGTGCATTCAAGTCTCCGGCTAGTACTACAATATCTGTCGAACGCGCTTTCTGGAGAAGAACTGTTAACTGATGGTAAAACTCATCCTTGATTGCATCCGGGCTGCAATCTGTCGGGGCATAGGCGGAGATGACGAAAAGACACCGTTTCTCACGCCGATTTCTTCTCACTTTGATGGAACTTTCTAATCTAACAGCACATAACCGACTGTTAATGGGGATCCAATCGATTAGTGCTGCCTCAGCTCTAGCGCTTAGTGCGACACCAACGCCAGCAAGACCAGACGAAGATGCCACAGGGTCCCCGGATAAGCGCACGTGGAACAAGCTTTTCGAGGCGACAGATGGAGAGCGGATTTGTAGTACTTCACTAGAGTCTTGAATACGGGTCTCGGATAGACAACAAACGTCAACATTAAGACCTTCCAAAGACATAGCCAGCTCTATCTGTTGTCTGATCTGCATTAGTGTGCGAACGTTGAAGGAAGCCAGCTTGAACGGCGTACGTGGTTTCAGAAAGACTGCCTCAGTATTCATAATCGGTGGAAGCATTCACTTTCAACCAGACAGTGACTGGAGATCGTTTAGATAGGACAGATTTTCCACCAAGAGCGAGCTGCTGCATAAGTTGAAGAGTAAGGTTACACAAATTGGGGATAAAAGGGGGTGAATTAGCGATATGGTAAGTAATAATAATAATAATAATAATAAAGGTAATAATAATAATAGTGTTAATTGTCTTGCTTTTAGTATGACCAGGGATATCGTCAATAGAGTTCATAATTTCATTCATTTGTTTGTGTGTGGGCTGTGATACTGCCCGGGTGCCCAAACCGAAGCAGGTGGTTTTCTTAGGGGACCACACCCCGAGCCTTTGACCTAAAGGTCTGATCCACAAGGCAGTGGAGCATCGTGAGGAGATGCAGTCCCATGGTTGCCGTTGACCAACAGCAGGTTCTTCCGCCATTCGTTCCATCAGGATACTGGAGCCCATGTGCACCATTGGTTTGGAATCAGGGTTTTCCAACTCCCCTAGGTGGACCCTCCGTGTCCACCAATCCGGTTATAGCGCCGGACATTCGCTTTTCGTCCTCTCACTTTCGTAAACAACACCCCCGCCACGAGAAGGCAGTGAGTAGGACTTCCCTGGCAGAGGCTATATATTCGCTGGCCATGTGAGAGCATTTCGAGAGGGAAAGTAGACTCTCCCCACTCTCGGCCGTACCAGGGCATTTGGGGGCACCCAGCCTGCTACCATGTTTAGTACCGTTCCAGAACTTTCCAGAAGCTCAAGGACATCTGAAATGCTACAAATACCCTAAATTTTCTGTACATAAATGAGCCTTGTAGTAAAGGGATTCTCCATATTTCGCGCCTTTTCTCACATGTTCAAGTTGTCATGTAGATTTACCCTGGGGTTATTAGAAGAGCTTAAAAAACCGATTCAAGCGTATAGTCTGAAGATTTATTAAAAAGATACAAAGAATAACATAGTTTTTAAAAACTACAATACGATTATCACTATTATTATGATTATTAGCTGGCTAATTATCTACTACAAATACAAATTTTTTCTATCCCCGGCCAACTGGTATTGTTAGTAGTTAAACTATAGACTTCTAATAAGTTTATACCATTAACTTTAGGGTGAGATTAGTTTATACATTTGTAATACGTAAAATTCTAGTTCACTGTTGTCAAAATTAGATGCTAAGAAAAAAACTAAATAGAATGGATGTATGATTCTTTGTACATATTGCATGGATATAGGGTTTAAAGTAAGAAAGTGGGGTGTATCATAAGAATAAGATTATCAGGTAAAATGTGGCAATAAGACTTGAAGTAACCTATTATGTCATTGACTATACAAAAAGAAACCAGAATTTAGTGAAGAAAAAAATTTTTTTCGACACTATTATTTATTAAAGCTGTACACGCATATTTAGATTGACCTAACAAATAGATGATTTTATAGAAGAATAAAAAGAAATTACATTATAAAGTGTTTTGAGTATTAAAAAACAAAGTTTCTTCACTGAATTCCCTTTAGTTGTTATTCAATAAGCATCGACTTAACTTCATGGTGAAGTTTCGATAAAACAGAGGGATGAATCAACTCTGTCAAAGGACAAGTAATTAAATATCGTTTAATTATAATGGAAAATGATGTGATTTCAAGTATTTGTTTTATACAAATGATTAAGAATGAAAATGTAATAATGAGCTATGAAAGAAAAAAACTGACGTTGCATAAGAGCTAATGTTTCTCGACCTTTATCTACACATAAATATATAATTAGTTATAATAATCAAAACCATAAATAATGGATGTGACCTTCGAATGGATTTCTTCATTGTTTCAATGAATGAAAGCATAAACACTGAAATCCGAGCGAAGTTTAAAATGTGAGCCGTTTAAACATCACAGTAAACAAGTGGAAACAAGTCATGCTAACTGAAAATCGAATGAATTAGTGAAGTTGTATGTCTGATAGGATATGGAGGGAGGTAGGATATCACAAAAACAATGACAATGATCATGATTACATGGCACACATGATTTACTTTACGCTATATCGTGTTAATAAATCTAATTTTTGATCAATTTTGTATATATATGAATTGCTTTTTTATGGTCAGCGTTTTCTAGCGAGTAGTTTTTCTACGGGATGGGTTCGCTAACCCCATGCTCGACCCTCCTCCTTTATCCGGGATTGGAACCGGCATTAACCCCAGAGGGGCTCCAAGCGGAGTTATTTTGTATATATAGTGAGATGTTATGACCTGTGGAGTCAAAAAATCAGTAATAAGATAATATAGTCTAACACTGGCATTGGTTGATGGTTGTAGCATAGATAGATGTTAACCAGTAACAAGGTAGTACATACGCAGCGCTCAATGTTATCAAGCGAGGAAGAAACAGCAATTCACTGAGATTATGTTTTCAATTGTTCATCACTTGACTTCCATATCCATGGTCAAAAACAGTAGATATTTAAATTTTTTAAAGAAGCTATTTTTAATATGACTGGTTTTGATGAACAGAATATGAATATTTTGAAAATATATATGCAATAACATGAACACTAGCAATTTTAAATCAAGGAGGTAAGAAAAGTAAGATATATGATGTGAAAAAGGCAATAAACGCAAACTAGAAAAGTAGGGTGGAAGGAAGAAATTAGTGGCAGAACATATATATACACACACACTTGGATAAGTATTCAAATGCACTAATCACATGATGTGCACAACATTTTAACCACACTAGATACAATGTTAGGTGAATAAACACTATGCATATGTTAAACTATTGGGATGACGTCCTATCGATAGGTAAACGGAAATAAAGGATGAATACATTTCATTACTTTTAAATAAAACATACAAGGGGAAGATAGCATTGGTATTCGATTTTTACCATCGATAAATAAATTATATTGCTAGCAGCAGTCAGATTATTTCAAGTTTATGTAAAACTTTCAGCTATCTATCGACCGTTAAAAGAAATGAATATTAAACTATATCTAATAAAAATAAAAAAAATATAGGCGAAATTTAGATAAGACAATACTATTTCTTCTTATATGAATTCAATGATATGTTCTTATTTAGACTAGTATGGGAGTAAAGACAAATACCAGTGACTAGAGAGGATAAATAGCTCGCTATTTAGTCATCAGTTGTGACCTGTATCATTTAAGTTTAGTAATCTATCTACCAAGCTAAGTGACCTGATATGGCAGTTACATGATAAATAATGTTTTAAGGATAAACTTTTTTAAGGTTGGATTAATGTAGACCTTACCAATGAAATATGAAAACTAGGCCTTACCGTTTTCCTATCGTTCGTCACCACCTACTAAATACTAATATGATTCAACTGAATGAAATACATCCGTTAATAAGCTATGTTATAAGTGAGTCAGGGGTACACTGATTAACTTCACCTGTAGTATTTGCCACATAGCAAAACAATTAGATATGAACAGAAGACAGTTAAGAGAAAAGATGTATTTCAAAAATGAAAGTATGGATTAACTTGGTATAGCTATTTGAACCGACACATATGTTCAAGGTTTTAGGCTACTTCTGACTAATTGACTGAATTCTATGGATTATAAACGAGTAATTGGGAATTACAATAACGTGTATGTCCACGGTATAATGGTCAGTGTTTAATTATATTTTAAATAATTTTCAATAATCTGCCTTGAGATTTTATTGGACTTATTCATTAGGCTACAGTACCAATAATGACCTAGATGGTTTTATAAACAGATACCGATTTGGGCTTCAATGATACTTACTTCATTTTTCCAGTAGATCATAAAAGGCGCCAGACTGAGTACAAGACGTAAAGTGCATGTTAGTTTTGTCTTAAATTTACATGGAAAACTGTGAGGAATCATATCCAGAAAACAGATCACTTCAGCTACATACAAATGTGGATTCAGTACACCCCAAGTTATAGAAGAAAGATTATCAATAGGAAATATTATGAACAGTGACAATACTACAAATTTTTAAAAGTTCATTTTTGGGAATAAACACATACTATTACTTCCTATGGTGTTGTTTACTAGTATCTTCCCATTGTTATTTAGGACTGCAATTGATCAGTCTCTTGTTAGCATATGTGCATCCTGCCTCGATATTGCCTGAAGTCACAAGCTTTATAAGCAAAGATGGATAGTGGCTAGGACGAAACGCACGTCCTGGATTCCACTGCTAGACACTATCCCTCTTTACATACTATTACTGTTTTGGATTTGCAAATGAGGGATTGAGCCACTGAAAAATATTACTACCATTAAAATTTGAAAATTTTGAATTATGTTACTTACAAGTAGTTAGGAAAGGAACAGTGAGAAGTGGAAGTTCAATATTGCACAACATAGATAACACTATAAACCACAAAATGACTCCAAGTAATGATCTATGGATAACTACTTAATCACTTAATACGATTTCAACCATTACGTATTGTCTTGATGATAAACGTGAGACCAATAAAGCAATTCAAATTTCAAGAATAGAATGTCAAAGTGGAACCCCTGTGAATTATGAGTTGTTTAGTGATGAGGGCTTGGAAATGTTGTGCAGTGTGGTTTTATAAAATCGTCTTACTTTCCATGTTATTCAGCTTATAAAGGTGTCACATGAATTTACGTAATTCACACGGCATGTTATTAATAGATTGATCAAGAGCTAGTTGAAAATAAGTGATAATCAACAGCGTTCCCACTCGATATTTGATTGAAGTCATACCTATTTTTCGACATCAATTTTTTCATTGGTTAGTGAAAAACACTGAAGTATCCTAAAGATTGAATAAACTAATTTATTTATTTAGAACTCAACACATGAAAGTCCGTTTTTTCCTTGTAACTATATGGAATGTAACTCACCTAACTTATATGTACTGACATAAGTGAACATGAACCATATTTTTATTGTAACAGCTACGTAGTATATATATAATGTGCCCCCCAAATGCTCTGGCATAGCCGAGAGTGTGGAGAGTCCGCTCTCCCTCCCGAAATGCTCTCACATGGCCACGTACATACAACCACTGCCAGAAATGTCCTACTCACTGCCTTCTCGTGGCATTACTGTTGTTTATGAAACTAAGAGGACGAAAAGAGAATGTCCGGCGCTTTAACCGGGTTGGTGGACACGAAAAGTCCACCTAGAAGAGTTCGAAAACCCTTATTCCAAACCAATGGTGCAACATGGGCTCCAGTATCCTGATGGAACAAACGGCATATGAACCAATTGTTGGTCACCGGCTACCATGGGACTGCATCTCCTGACGTTGCTCCACTGTCTTGCGGACTAGACCTTTAGGTCAAAGGCTCTGGGTGTGGCCCCTTAAGAAAACCAACTGCGTCGTTCTAGGCACCCTTGCAGTACCATAGCCCTCACAAAATTAAAATGTAAAGACAATATTTTGTGTGGCGCATATATCTGGTGCCTCCTTGCTGATATTGATCAGCATGATAATATGTCTTACAACGGTTGAAGTGATTGTAGTATAAAAACATAACACTATTTAAAAGTATACTTACCCGATGGGACATCTATCGATATAACAGGAATTTGACTTGTTGACATAATTTGTAGTATACTTTTGAATTCTAGACTTACAGGAGGTTTGAAACCAAATCCAAAAAGTGCATCAATGAATAGATCATAAGATTGAGATAAGTTAAATGTCTAGTTAAAGGAAAATGTAAGAGAACAATAGAGATAAAAAAGAAACATTACTGTTATTTCTTTTACCCTGTTTATTATCACGTCACAGAGTCACCCAAAGAAACACCGACTTATTTGACCTTGGCAATGTACCAAGCCAATGACACATTAATCAGTACGAGTAGCCTAGAGTTAACTCTGAGTCCTTATTGGTTCTTCTCGCCTAACCCTTCCTGTTTGGGTCCAGAACGCAACCTCAGTTTCCACTGTATGAACCATACATATCAGACATATGCAGTTTATTTACAAGCGAATCAGACCGCATCATACCATAAAATAGAAAATAACAATTATACAAGATTAGGCCCAAAGTGGCTGTGAGTGTGATATACTGTAACTAATAAATTGGGAATAACTTGAGAATACTAAATCGTATAATAATAGTCAATAGATCAAACGTAAGCTTATTATAAAAGGAATATGAATATACATATAATATAGTTACTTAATAGTTATCCAATAAGAATATATGTAACAATAGTTCATAAATAATTCCTAGCAGTTACCAACCATTTATTCATCGTAATGATATCACAATTATTTATGAACATAAATTAAATATTTATTTTCTGATTATAAGTATGATGGGATAACTAGGATTAAAAGTGTCATATATAAACTCAATAAATTAAACATAAATTTTTTTGGTGTTGGAATTTTTCAAAGTGATTATGCGAACAATTGAAAAAGTACTCCGTAAATTGTCAAAAATCTATTATTATTATTCCTATCAGTAACTCAAATATAATGCTCGTCATATGTTTATTAGTTGTATGATAAAAAAGATACATTCATACTGTTTCATATGGATATTTTGTGAGAGATGTGCTTATAAACTGTTTAAAGTTATCTCAGAACAACGTGTGGTGTATACTACTTATGATGACAGATATAAGTAGTACGTAACGCCATTCAGAAGTGGAATGCATGGTAGCAGAAAATTGAAAAGATCGAATTGAAGACAACGGGAATGTAAACAGAAAGTAATTGTAATAACAATAGAAATGAAAGGACGATGAAGGTTGTAAGAGACAGTTGATAGAAGATGTGCAAATGACCTATTTAATGTATAGTATTCATAATTTACAAAGACGCTGTAATTTTGAATTGAAAAATGAATTGTTTTCCACCACCTGAGTGTTCTTTCACGACAACTGTTATTCATTTAGACGGAGAAATATAATATCACAATTAGAAATGAAAAGGGAACGAAAAGAAGTCAAGCATCAAGGTATGAAAAATCAAGACCTTGCGAATACAGTGAATTAAAGTCTACGATTTGGACAATAATATTTTAATGATAGCTAATTTAGAATGCTAGAAAAATGAACATTTAACCGTAAACTTTTTAAATAATTCTATCTTTTAATGATGTATACGTAGACTATGTGGTTTATTGTTGGGTCTTAAACTATTATCGCTTAGTGTAGGTCGAACAGAGATACATGTGATTATTGATAAATATGGTTATGTTAGTATGATTATTATATTATGTCACCAGTGGATAATGTAGTCCTTCCGCAAAATAAACAAAAATATCTACACACAGAAACTCATGTCACTCCATAATGATCGTCTCTATACTAGTAACTTGTTTTTGAGATGGACTTTTTGTAGCTCACGGTTGGAAGTTGTGATCTATGAAATAAAAATAGTAGGGAATGAGAAAGCGACTTAGTTACAATACTTAATCACGTTTATGCTATACGACTTATTGACTAAAATTAAAAATTCTAACCTCAGGGATTTTCATTCAGTACTTTATATATATGTATATATATTGGGTTGGTATCCACTATAGATGAGTATTGCTAGGTTATGAACTAGAGGGAATCGTCAACTGTTTTTTTATCAGTATCTTAGTTTTTAACAGTTTTGTTGAAATCAGTTCGTAATGAAAACCACTTTTAAAATATACAAAATGTTTTACACAAAAACCATCTTACTTCATTTGTCAAATCCGGTAGAAAAGGAATGTCCATTTTTTCACACTGAATAACTAAATTTTTATACAATTGTTTGGTTGGATTACGAGGATAATGTATAAAAGGTTTGTAACCCTATAAATGACAAGATCAACACGAGAAAAGAAAAAACAATCTTGTTTTTAAAGGAGAAACACCAAACAAACAAAATTGAAGGCATATTTCTTCTATTAGTGAAATAGGTAACCTTGATAAGCATTGGTTATCATGCGTGCAAAAGAAAAAAAAGTCCATACAACAGTAGTAACTGTCTAAACGGGAAAGATAAGGAGAGCGGGGAAAGTGACTCCTGAGAAAAAAGATTTCACATGGGACGAAACTGCTGATAGTGAATTATAAGTGACGTAATTGACAAAATCGGTAATCGATGTTTATCATGACAACAATGATTAACTTTCATGGGTTACTAAAAAAGTTGCGGAAAACATACAACTTTTAAGAAAACTTAACACTTTAAACCAAAATAAAAGAACCAGTGAATACTGAATGAGAAATTCAAAATTTCCACATGGCTTACAAAATATGTTGACTATTTCAAATAGAATACTAATGAATAGTGGTTAAACTACTCGACTCTTAACTGCCAATAGGTTTCAACAGTTCGAATTTTACATTGTCTAGTTTGATACAGACACCTGAGTAGCTCTTGTACAAACAACTTGACTTTACACCAGGCAACCAATAAATGAATGAGATATTTCTTCGGTGTTATTTCGCATCGAATATTTTTTATTTTATAAAAATAAAAGCAACTGAATGATCATTTTTGAAAATAAAATGAAACACCACATTAATACCAAGTAATGATGTCATAGTCCCGATAAGAATTATCTTAAAATTAGTAGAACTGATTTTGATTGGTTAATATAAACCGTTTAGAGAAATTTAGTTTGATAGTTGAGATCACGAGTCAATGGAAGCTGGGCCACCATGGAAAAACTGAAAGCAAAGGACGGGTGTTTCGTCTAATTATGGGACTCCTCAGCATTTAGCTGAAGAAAAAAAATCAATAAAGTCACACTTACAAACATTTTCAAATGTCGGGCACAAACTAAACCATCTCCACCATTGTTCCCTGGTCCACAGAAAACAAGTACAGAACCGTTGGATTTGGTTAGCTTGTTAAGGGGATAAGCCTGTGTGGTTTAAAGGAAATTTATAATGTACTGAATAATTAGTAAATAGATAGATTACGAAAATATGTTTTAACATGAAATACAAGTTTAAAGGTTGTACATATTAATCATTGGTATTTTTTCCTCAATATACCGTGGACTAAATTAGTTCAGGTACAATGACGAAGGCTTATATTACATTTTTTGATAAATCTATGAGCAAAAAGAAAGAATTTAATTAGTTAACTCCTTTATTCTCATTAAGTGATGAGATAGCAATTCTTTTTGAGTAATCTATCTTTTAAACTATCAGGGAACAATTAATATTAAACGCGTTATTACACGAACAATACAGTGATAAAAGTTATCTTTCACATATAAAAGCAAATGTTATATTATTCAGTAGCTTCGATGAATACTACTATAACTAGAAACTTTCTTCATTATTTCCATTTAGAGTAAAGAATCAAGAAGATTTAACAACTAGAATACATAGCTCATTGTTGTATCTGTTACAATAGCATTCTGCTTATTTATTTATTTCTATGTATACTTAATAATGCGTTTTTAAGGAGTACTTCACGAAAAAAAGCAAATTATTTTTCAACGGTTTCCAACTCGAGATGAAGGAAACACACTAAAATATATTAGATAATAGTCAGATAGAAATAGATCGCAATACAAACTAGGAAATGTTCTCATATATGAGAATTAATTATTATTTCTGTCATTATACAGCTACTCTTTCAAACATAAAAATGTATCTATATAGAAAATGGTTCATTTATTTTCAATAGCCTATTAACTGTGAATTTAAGCATTTAGCTTTACAGACCTTTAATGTTGGTCTTCGTAATGATATATCCCATTTAAAAGACCATAGTTACATCATGATAAGATAAAACAACATGGCAGTCTTTTTTATACACTAAAGTACTATTGAGTTACGATATTAGCCTTTTGCCTAATGGAGCGGGAGTTATCCTGAATAATTCATTTACATGATTTGTTATCATATTAACAATGATGTTCAGAGAATTCAAAAAAATACAGTATAAGATAAAAAATATAAGTAATCACCTTGTTGATAGCAACAGCACAGCTTAAACCAGCTAACTCCATCAGCTGATCAACAGAGAAAGCATATTCTGTAAATAATTCATTATCTACTTGTTGAGCTTCTACCTGACTAGATAAACAATAAAAAAAACAGGAAGTCAGTAAATATCTACAGTCACTCAGACACAATCAACTTACAAACTGACATAGATCTGCGTTAGCCCACGTCACATCATATCAACACGAAGAGATAAAATTAACAAGAGAAATAGCGAAATAGTCGCAATGATATTTGTAAGGAAGGATTAAACATTGGATAATATGGTTCGAAAAGGACGGATAAATTCAATGGATGAAAAGTACAAAGTAATGTTGAAAGTCAATATCCACATTTGTAAATGAAGATTAATCACACGTAGAGAAGTCTAAAGATGACCAGTGAATGAAATCTCATAATGTTAACTATGAAATATTAATCAAATGAAGACGAATTCACATCATTTAAATGAATTTTTAGGAGAGATTACTACAACTGAAATGTACAAAAAACCAGTAATAAATCAAATAGAAAATATGTTGTGATTATGGTATTAGTTAGGAATTATAGTATACCAGAACGACCAGTGTGATAACTACAGGGCTATCACTCTTCTCTCAATACCAGGAAAAGTCTTCAGCAGGGTATTGTTAAACAGAATGAAGGACTCCGTAGACGCCCAACTTCGAGACCAACAGGCTGGATTCCGTAAGGATTGATCATGTACAGACCAAATCGCAACTCTATGGATCATTGTGGAACAATCAATTGAATGAAATTCATCACTCTACATCAACTTCATTGACTGTGAGAAAGCATTTGACAGTGAGGACAGGACAATACTATGGAGGCTTCTTCGACACTATAGCGTGTCTGCCTGAGAAGCTAGTCAATATCATACGGAATCCCTATGATGGATTAAACCGACTCGTTCGAAGTAAAGACTAGTGTCAGGCAAGGTCGCTTACTCTCACCCTTTCTCTTTCTCCTGGTGATCGACTGGATCATGAAGACGTCAACATCTGGAGGGAAGCACGGGATGCAGCTGAGCGTTTTAGACTTCGGAGATAATCCGATTCTTCTTGCGCACACGCAACAACAAATGAAGGGGAAGATGACCAGTGTAGCAGCAGTAGGTCTCAACATACAAAAAGGGGAAAGCGAGATTCTCCGATACAATACAGCATGCACCAATCGAATTACACATGACGGAGAAGCTTTGGAAGATGTGGAAACCTTTACATATCTGGGCAGCATCATTGATGAACACGGTGGATTTGATGCAGATGTGAAGGTGCGGAATAGCAAAGTAAGAGTAGCATATTTACAACTGAAGAACATCTGGAACTCAAAACAGTTGTCAACCAACCCCAAGATTAGAATTCTTAATACAAATGTCAAGACAGTTCTACTGTATGGGGTGGAGACGTGGAGAACTACGAAAGCCATTATTAAGGAGACATATGTGTTTATTAACAGTTTTCTGAGCAAAATACTTCGGATCCGTTGGCCAGACACTATCAGTAACAACCTATTGTAAGAGAGAACAAACCAGATTTCAGAAAGAAACGCTGGAAGTGGATAGGACACACATTGAGGAAATCACCCAACTACATCACAAGACAAGCCCTCACATGAAATCCTGAAGGCCAAAGGAGAAGAGGAAGATTAAAGAACATATTACGCTGAAAAATGGAAACAGACATGAGAAAAATGATCGAAAATTGGATAGAACTAGAAAGGGAGGCCCAAGACAGAGCGGGTTGGAGAATGCCGGTCAGCGGCCTATGCTCCGTTGGGAGTGTGTTAATTACCTATATTATTCATCACATGTCTGTAACTTATTTTTGTCCAACTATAAATATCGAGTCACACTAGATCAAACCGGATTGGCTCACTCCCCTTCTGTTCTCTGATTCTATCTGGATCAACGTGTACGAAAAATACGTATTCAATATTCATTCTAGTATTTGAATTATTCCATATCGTTGTTCTCCCATGTGAATTAAGTCAATAACTGCGTACGAGGGTAGCTTGGATGCATATTTCGATAACATTATCATAGGATCTAACTGGAGCCAGATACTGGGCTACAAGAGATGTTCAATGTCCCATAGTTTTTCAAAGATTATTTGACTGATTTAAGCTCTTGATGAAAACTCTCTTCAAACTGACCAAATATCAGCAGAAACTATTTGCTTGAATTTGTAAGGATTTGAGTTTTCCATTTGTTGATAATAGTGATTGCATTTAGTCAGTTTTTGTAATCATATGTGCATACCAGAGACAATTGTCTCCATAGTAGCATTTAGTTGTTTTAAGAAAGTTGGATTTTGAAAACCAGGGCCCTAGTATCACTCCGTTTGGAGCTTATCAGCTGCATGTAACTGCTTCAAGTATCAGTGCTCGCAAATAGGACGAAACACGCGGTCGGAAACTTATATCTAGCTATAATCTCTGTTGTCTTTTCGAATCATATACCCACAAGTTGACCCTCTTTTTTAAGCATTTTTATTACAATATTTCGATCTTGTTTGTTACTTTCATCACGTCGTGTTAGTCAGGTATGATAACTTGGACGGAGCCCTATGTTGATGATGTCTGCCTTCTAGCTACAACCAAACTTTGCTGAAAATTAACTACTTGCTTAAGAATTTACAAATCCAATTCAAACAGAATGGCTATTAGTTCAAACTTTAAAATAACTAAAAAGACAAACGATCAACGAACAGGTGTATATGTTGTTTGCATGATAATCCTGATTGATAATAAGAGTTAGTTACTAAAAATAGATTCTCATTGAATTTCTAAGTGAAGTTTTACTTTTAAGCCTAGGATTCTCTTTTAGTAGGTCATAATTAAGCCTCACTGAAACTCATTCAAACATATAGTTATTGCATATGAACGTGACTCCATCAACTCATTTACTCTGACAATTAGGTTTAATCCTGTGAATATTAGATCTATGATTTCAGTGAATGATGAGTAGTAATGGTTAAAGCACTCGGTTAAAAGTTCAAACTTCACTCACTTCAGTTTGAGTAGTTAGATAGTATTGCTATACTTCACACAAATAATGTGGCTTAAAATTGAGTACATAAACCTTTGTTTGGTAAATGAACTATATTATTATTCCATTAGTCAGATAGGGTTATCCTATGTTAATAGTTAAAATATCCTGAAAAAACTAAGATAAATTTTTAGATTGACTTGATACCTGAGATTAGTGAGAGAAGTTGAACAAATTCCTATTAGTTCCCAACTCGGTCTATAAAAGATTTGAATCTAATCAATATTTACAATATGTGGAAGATTAAACTCAGACAATAATGAGAACTAAATAAAGAATAATCGATAATTTGTACAGCTTTAATGATATTAACTTTACGACCTATGTTGACCAATTTATAAATTTAGTTATTCATATTTTGCGTTAGTATACATCTTTTCAGTCAATTAAAAAGAGGAATATTCATAGCTTTCATGATTGAATTGACTAGATTGGATTCAGGTATACATATAACCATCGTGGTTTAATTGTCTAATGGATGTAAAACAAATTATACCACACTTCCTCACTCTTTTTTAAAAGAAATTAAAGTCGGTAAAATGCAACAAATTTATTTATTTATTTGAACACAAAAATATTGGTACAAGAGGGCACCAGATACATATGCGCCACACAAATCTCATTTGATTTGTGTGAGGGCTGTGATATTGCTCAGGTGCCCAAACTGAAGCAGGTGGTTTTCTTAGGGGGCCACACCCGGAGCCTTCGACCTAAAGATGTAACCCACAAGGCAGTGGAGCATCGTGAGGAGATGCAGTTCCATGGTAGTCGGTGACCAACGATTGATCCATACGCCATTTGTCCCATCAGGATACTGGAGTCCATGTTGCACCATTGGTTTGGAATGAGGGTTTTCCAACTCCCCTAGGTAGATCCTCCGTATCCACCAACCCGGTTAAAGCGCTGGACATTCTCTTTTCGTCTTCTAAACTCCGTAAACAACACCCCTGCCACGAGAAGGCAGTGCAACAAAATAACCACAGCTTTAATGCACTAAATATTTTTTATCCAGTTATGCCCAAATAATATCCTAACACGGTTAATAATATTGATTTCCTTCGAAGCTATGATTGCTATGGTTTTACACCATAGTATTCAAGTCCTACTAGTGTATTAATGTCACCACTCTAGTTTCAGTACTTGTCTGTTATATGCTCTGTCAACATTTTTTCGGATTAAATCTATTATATAAGGAGTTCAACAAACAGATGATTGTAAATAAAACAGAAAATATCTAGTTCTTATTTTGATAAGCCAAAATAAAATTAAGACATTAAAAAAATAAATTTGAAACAAAAACCATTACCTTAAATAACTGACAGCCATATTGGAGAATAAATATCGGGTTCGTATACAATGACAGTGATACTTTTGAGAAAATAATGTAAACAGTCTAATCCCAATCTAAAGTGAGTTTTAGAAAATATAAACAGCTTTAAAAATTATTTATTCGTATATATAGTTTAATATTTTAGAAGCAATTTAAATAATTCGATAACTTTATTCCATTTTAAATAGGTAAATATATAATGTACAATATTGAGCAGGAAGCAGCTTACTTCGTATGCGTATGAACTCATATGAACGAATTATAATCTTCCTGTCAGAGGGACAGCATCAGATGTAACTGCGAATTTAACAGTCACAACCTGTTGTATCCCGAAGAGAATTACGAATGGTAACTTTTGAGGACTATTTATTGGTCAATATAATATGTATATTTCCTATGGTAATTAACCTAATCATATTCGTTTTCTCTTATCACTAACTTTATTTTGACCTTTGAACTATTATTATACGATCCTTGAGTTATCATCAGTTTATTGATTACTATTCATAGCCACATTCCGCTAAATATTGTACAAATGTTATTATCTATTTTATGGGTCCATATGGTCTGGTTGGTATATATAATTCAGTATGTTTGAAATACAATGATTCATACCACTGAGGCTGTTATTGGTGTCCCCCGCACAACCGGACTTGATACTAGCAAATACAATAATTATTCGGAAAGATTTTCTGGTCTATTACAGATAACATATAAGTAGGGGGGTCTGACACAATGTAACACACTACATTTAAACTAAAGTGTTCTTTACCTTTGGTTATCCCAGATGCCTCAAATGAATTTAGTGGAATTACTAATTTAGGCTCTACGTGACCTTTTAAAATGCCCTGAGATACATTACTGTACCTCGACTGAAAGAAGAACGCGGCAGATCCTAAGCCTTATGATGACACGGTCAGTCAGTCAGCTACAACGTAGGACCAGGCACATATATGCATCGGTCCAAGTTGATGATGACACGGTTCTTAATAGTCATACGATACCAGACAGATATACGTAGCCACCTCTACAGGATTTTACCAGTAACTTGCCAGATATCAATATTTTTTCGAAAATTGACCTCATTTAAGCTTATCACCACATTCTAATTCATCTTTATGACATTCCTAAGACTGCCATCACTATCCCATTCAAACTAAATTAATCCGTCCGCATGCTTTCCCGCCTGAGAAATGGGACACAAACCTTCCAACACTGTCGATCACGTAATCCGCCCATTGTATACACATACATAAACGACCTACTCACTACCAGAAATGATGATAAGTTGGTTCGAACCTTGTATGAGACAGGATGACAAGGTTCCTTAGCTAAGAAACTAAAATCTCACGCCATCGATGTGCGCTGTCCGACTAAATGGTATAGTAAGAACTCAGAAACATAGGGACGCATGCCTTTGCCTCTTCCTTGCCACACCCTAAGTTCCCACTGATTACAGCTCAAATGAGGTAAATGAATTTTATCGACCCAACAATGGAATCAAATAGACCACAAGACCATCAGCCATCGTTGAAAAGACTCCATAAAAGACTGTTGCTCATTTTGGAGTATATATTTAGACTCTGATCATACTACAGTACGAGCGCATATTTGTATGAGTTTCACTGGATATAGAAAAGCTACCAAAAGAAAGCCTGCGTAGTAAAAGTTAATGATAAAAGTCACCAATATATATTAGAAACGGAGAAGAGAGTTGATCAACTATGAAATTGATACCCGCCCTAAGGTAACTTCGGCATGATATCCAAAACGGCAATGATGTTCACCAGTAACTGGAACCAAAAGGTTGAAAAATCAGTGGACTTCAGCAGCTTTTGCTCAAGTAACAGATGCTTGAAAACCCATTCCGTATGGTTCCGGATACTATGAGGAGCGGAGGCGGCTTAAACGCAGGATGATAAAAGGCCTGCGCAAATATAATGATCAATGGTGGACAGCGAAAGCAGAAAATATGAGGACAGCTGGGATAGATAAGAGTAGGCAACTATCTAGGCTTTCAAGAAAATAGACATTAAAATCCGGTTGTCAGTGAGATTATGTCAGGAAAAGATGGGGCTATTATTCACTCTTAATCCAAGAGACTGAACCAATGAGCAGAGCACTGAAGGGAACAGTTTAAATATTGAAACTTTTAAGGACGATGACTCAGTCTCGCCAGTAAAACTATCTGAGACCATGTCTAGAATCAGGCAACTGACTGGTCTCGATCACCAATCTTCCCAGTTCATAAGATAAGACAAGAGTGCCTCAAAATTACATGAAAACTTGGGATTTCCCCAAAATAATTTGAAGTTTTGGGAAAAGTCTTATGCCAGGGGAGATTTCGAGGTTTTTTTCGCATTTCTCCAAAAGTGATTAACTGCTCCCCAAAATTTTGGCGAACAAGGACATATTATTGTGACTATCACAATAAAATCAGTCGGGCTAATACGGAGCTTGGAGCATGATTCTAAATAATGCTTTATCTAATTACAGCAAAATTATTCTAGCTTGGTTTCCTAACTCCAAGCAGAATAATGGAAGGAAAGCACCATACGGTAGCGTACTATGTTGAGCTAGGCGCGATATTTAAGTCTAAGTTTCAGTTTGGAAAGGACGATAGGCTGGGTGGCTTGTGTTATTCCTGGTAATAGTAATCTTTCAATAGATCCAACTTTCTTCTGAAAGAGTCAAAATATGGAGCTTAAATTACATGTCAAGGTAATGAATTCCATTCTCTGACGGTTCAATAGGAAAGTCGATAGTCATCTGACATGTAATTTGTTTTGGGTTCGTGAACTTTTAGAGTACCCTCACAAATCCTCGGTTTCGGGAGACAGGAAAAATGAAGGCACTCCAATTTCAAAGCTATTATTGAGTAATTTAAAAACTATGGTCAAGTAACCTCTAGTTCTTCAATATGACATTATAAATAAATTTAGTTTAGCCAAATCATACTACGGGAACTTTGCTATTCTGATAATCAGCTTAGTTGCTGTTCTCTGAACCTCTTTCAAAAGTTTACCTTTAGGCTAACCTCTAAGGTTACTACTCAGTGTATTTTGTAGACTCCTTAACCAGCTCTTCATACAGTCTTTTAGGCTTGCAGTGGGTCTAGTTACAAATATTTCGAATTTCTCGATGTTGAGACTTTGTTTCGTCAATACCCAGTAATCTAAATCCCCACATATTCTCTTCTTATGAAGAACTGTGCGAACATCTTCAGTGAACCACTGTGGGAGCTTCTCGGACCTCCTGGTGTAGTGGGATTTGCAGTGCAATGCAAATTTCTTAGTGCCCCCTAAGCCGTTTCAATAAAGAACTCCGATTTTATTGTGTATAATATTCTACTTTTTGTATAAAGCAATCGATTTCTTCACTTTCGCTTCTTATTACTACAGCACGGTACCATGTATTAGTTAATGTTCAATGAATATTGGTCTAGCCGCTCGACTGCGTTTGTGGATGTGACAGTTTTGTAATTTGAGTGAGTACGTGCGTCTCTGATGATCAGAAGTATTTGAAATGGTGTACCAACTAGGAACTTCCGACATAGTGCATTTTACAGCAAGCAGAACTAGATGAGCATGAATCAGTGTATTATATTTGGAACCCGTAATCAGCGGGTAATAAAGTACAAAAGTCATTAGTTCGTACAAATACCACAATGTCTTGGGGCAATAGGGTTTTTTTGGTACCAGCAGCTACCAAATCACTAGTCAGGAGGTTGTTTGGTTGCAATGTGACAATAATAGAGGGTTATTTGGGTGCTAGGATAAGACTTTGTAGCGAGAAAAAATGAGTTATTTAACAAGTTATACAGACAGCCTGAAGAGGAATTGAAACAACAAGAAGGGAAACGCAGGTAGTAGTAAGAGAGATAGGAAGACGTTAGTGACATGAAGTAATGATAACTGCGATAAATTGCGAGACATACATCAGATACAGCTGGTTTAATGGGCGGATGGTAATCCATGTGTGAGTGCGTGTTTGTCAAGTCACCTCGTAAAGCTAAACACTGGGAGGCTGTGGTCACTTCAATTGAGAAGGCATTCCAAAATGGGATAACTCTTAGAAAAAAAAGGAAACGTACCTGGATGTTTGCTCTTTGATATACAGTCTCTCGTAGGTCGCCTTTATGAACTTGGTGGTGACATTCTGGTAATATGCTCTTATTTGGGTGGCCTGGCATACCTAATATGTTGTATTCCATCATTGGATCACCTCTTGCCCTCCTGAATAATCTCAGTTGTTGGACTCTGTCTTTGCAGCCCTCTAACCCATTTGACTGACCGTCTATGTACTTGTTCCAAGGAATTTGTCACTTTTGAAGAGATAAGTCTCAAAGACATTGTAGACTTCAAGGTAAGACCGTCAGCACGCTTTAAAGAGGGTCAAGAACAACTATGTGGTGATTGCTTTAGGTTGTCTTTGCATGGACTGGAGAGTTGCGTTTACCTTAGCTGCATTTTTTATGTAGTTTGAGCTGATATCTAAGGTTTCTGAGGTCACAAACTCGAAATAATCAGACGATCGGGAGAGCATTTATATATAGGGTGTAAGTGCCCGTATGTTTTATGAAGGTGAATATTCATGATATGAAATTTAGGCAGACTTTTTACCCATATCTAATGTCCATTCTTTTATTGTTGTAAGGCCCTGTTGAGGCCCAAGTGAAGCCTTATGGCTTTTCGTAAACTTCCAGATATTTGCGTCGTCCCTGTAGATCAGTGTCGCCGAGAAAATTTTATTTAATAGGTCATTCATAAAGGTCAAAGACAGGAGGAGACCTAAGATTGTCTTCCATGAAACTCCTCATTTAAAAACCCTATAAATAACGTGCACTCTTTTTACCTTGATGCAAAACATCCTCTCCTCTAGGTAATTTTGGAGCCATGATAAAAGTGTGTCAGTAAAACCTATTCTTACAACTTCCGCTGTGAGGTTCGCAATGCGGTTCTTTGTTAAAGGCTTTTGCAAAAAAGGGGAAATAATACGTGAGTCATTATCTTCTGGTCTTAACAGGTCTTCCAGCTTACCAGTGCTATGAGGAGATTAACTGTACATGACATGCTTTTCCTTAAACCATGCTGTGCTTCATGGAGTATGTTGTTTTTATCCATGTATTCCCCTGTTGGATCACTGACCAGTCCTTTCATTACCTCCGACAATATTATGAGTAATGAAACTGATCTACAATAGGGTGGGTCTTCTCTAGCTACTGCTTTAGAGATCGTAGAGATAGTGGCCTTTTTCCGTTCTCTTCCAAGTTGGTGTTACTCTAGTGGGTTCCCGAACAGGTCACATATAGGTGTGCTTTCGCACACTGTTTCAGGAGTATGGGTGGAATGTTATTACATTCTGTTG